AAGTAAAATAATCTGCTTGTAAGTTTCTTGCCGCTTCTCACAGACTCCCGCAGAAGGAAATTGCGGAAGCAGCTCTTGAATTTTGAAGAAACAGACATGCGCGCCAGTTTTCGCGCGCGTGTTCCGCATAACATAGTTGACACCGTCAAAAGTATGAGACGTCTGGTACAGCACGATCTTCAAGAAGGAATTCTCCATTCAATTGGAGAGACGTATGTTGAATAAGATTTTACTTAAGAAATAAAAGACCTTTGTCAGTAACAAATTTAAGATTTATTTAACAAAACGTGAATACCGTGTACAGAAAACGAAACTTAGTCTAATTATAACTTATATAAAAATCTTAATCTTAATAATTTTTTAATATTAATATCAAAAACCCTAGACTGAATTACGTAGTTTTTAACAATTTTAGAGATCAGGTAATTTTACATTAATTTATTTTATTTACCTTTAACTTGTAAATTTCCAAAAAAAAAAAGCAATAAATTAATAATTGTGAATATTTGGTGATTTTTTAAAATCTTGTGTTATTTTTTTAAACATTTATTAGTTACAAAAATCGTTTAAATTAATGATAGGAATGTATATTATGATGGATGCTAAGAGATGTTTATTCCAAATTTTGTTAGGATTAAATTTAGGGCAAAAAAGAAAGATTGCTTATAATCAAATATTACAATATAACAACAATGTTGAGTATTGTAATTATAGCTGCCAGCAAAACTAAGTAAATTAGACTAATTGTGATATTTGATTGTTACATAAATTGGCAATATTAGTAAATGGAAAAAAACGATTAAGTTTTATATAATTTTTGCTCCCCACAAGTGACATTATTTTGTTTTGATTACGTAATACTGTGGCTTAAATGCTGTAAATAATACTTTTTATGTGGCAATAATATAGTTTCTGGGAATTAAACATTAAATAGGTTTTTATAACACTGTGATGTTTTAACAAAATAGCAAAAATAGTTTTTGTATAAATTATATAATTCCTTAAAATAATCTGTGACACTGCTTATATGTGATATGCTATAAACGCTTTACAGAGTTAGGTACAGACCACAATTCACTACTGACTGGGTTTAAACACAAAAAAACTGTTAAGTGTGTGCTTTGTAAAATTAGTGTTACGTGTTGCCAGTCCACAGTGTTTGTAAAAAAAATGTTCAACTGCTCTTTTTATTCCATAAGACTTAAGAAAATTTGAATTTTAAACTAAGTCTGTGTTTGCAATTGTGTGTTAGCAATTGCATTTTACAATTATGCCAAATGTTAATCATCTACATAAAACACATTTTGAGGCAAACCTCGGAGACAGACAGACAACAAGGTGATTCCATTTAGATTTTGTTGAATTTGGCATGGGACACTTAAAATTGATTGAAATAAAGTGATCAAAACTAAGATCATAACAATGATAATATTACATTTATCAATTGCTGTAATTTTAAGATGAGATTGGCTTACATATACAAATAATATTGTATCTTTGTGTGTGAAGTGTTATCACGAAAAATCCTCATAGCGATCCATCCAAAAGTTAAAAGTATTCAGTAGCCAAGAAACAGTTAGGACAAACTATGGTCACCTACACTGCAAAAGAACACTCTAATGTAGACCGATTTGATTTTCGAAAACAGGTTGCCATCAGGGAGTTGAACATAAACCAAGAGGTTACTCCAAATCTAAGCCGAATGGACTCCATTGTCAATGAGGTTTAGATAGAGATACCGCTATAGGAGATGATAAAAATCTTAGGTCTATGTCAATGAACGAGCTAATGAAATAAATATTGTATGTTAATGGTGTAAGCCAGACTTCTAGACATCTTGATTGCATAAACAGAAGGGGCCAACCCAATCTCAAACTTCAGAGTGTAGTTCGTCAGGAACCAAAGCAACTGGCAACCTTGCAGGTTACACAGGAGCTCTAAAGGAAAAGATTCGCATCACTAGAATTGAATCCCTAGGAATCAGAGCGGACAACTTATACAAGAAGAATAAACGGCCAGCGTTGGTAGGGGTACTTCATCACTGATGATTGCTTTACATCAAGCACAACTTTCGATTCTAAAAAGTCAAGATATCAGACTTAACATGTGTGGAGATGCAACAAACAAATTTAAATGTGAATATTTTTATTTTTCGTCTTCTTTTTGTCGATATGGTATATTCCGCAATATAGTTAAACAAAAAATCTTCCACATGGAGTAGGTATTGAAAGATTTATATTTATCAGTGATTCTCAATTGCAAGAACAAATGCAGATTACAGATGCCACCTGCCATAAGGTTGACTCTGCGCTTGCTCTGACTTCCAAATGTGAACAACAGGAGCCTGCATTGATACCGACGTATAACGGCATAACAAATCAAACATAGAAATAAATCAGTAAAGACAGTAAAAAGTTTGTATAGTATTTGAAGTGTACATATTTTGACTACCACATGCCTTAGTATTCAGAAAAACTGACTAAAGATTTTAAAGGTGATTAAAATTTTGTGCAGCACCATAAATTTCTGCTATATACGAATTTAAAGGAAGAAAGGAAATTTAATCAAAAGCAAGTGACAATACACAATAACAAGAGACCAATTGCATGTAGGAATGTGCACCAGACACTCTGTGTTTGTGTACATTACTGTAAGACTTGTTGAACTTCCAACTTGTGGTGATGAGTGTTACATCGGAATCAGAATGTCATGTGGCTTATTTTGTTACATAGATAACTTATTACACTATTCAGAAGTTATTGTGGCAATAAAAATTTGCCAGTGGAACATCATTATCAATTATTTGGACATGTACTTAGTACATTAACTCAATTTTTGAATAGTTAATAGAAGTTAGGAAACAGACTAGTGTTGGCATTGAATCAACAAATAGATTTTTAAAATAGCTCATGAATTAGAAACTAATTATTTTCCACTGCTTAAAAAACAGGTTGAAAAAATGTATGATATCATACAAAACCTACAATCAAGTTCAAGGTTCAAATTTGATGAGGGATATATGTTATTTTTGTTAATTTAGTACTAAAATATTATATGGGTTGAATAGTCGTTTCATATGCGGTATTCGGCATATTCATATTCGGCCCAATATTTGGCTAAATCACCGAATATTGGTTAAAGTGGTACGCAGTGTCCACTGTATTGAAATGTACTAATTGAGTAATGCCATGTCTTCCATAATTTTACTTTTGAAAGTATATTTGTCCACTGTATTGAAATGTACGAATTGAGTAATGCCATGTCTTCCATAATTTTACTTTTGAAAGTATATTTTATTTATAGGTTAAATCTACTTTTATAGCGTTATGTTTTTGAGGCACTATAGATTTACTAAACTAAACTAGATTTATTTCCAATTATAGCAAATAGAAAGCTAGCTAAAATGTTTTTGGAATCAAACAAAGAGACATTACATTAGTACATTTTACTTTACTTTGGTCGTCAGTTTCATTTAAATAAGTCCAAATAGTAGATCTCCTGCCACTCATTTTTATCATATAATTATCAATTTTCACTAAGAATAACACAACAATATACTTTTTTCTCACAAAAATAGTCGAAACATAAGCATGTGCAGGCAATTTTCTCAGTAATAGATGATGTAATAACATGTCAGGTGTGGCAGAGGAAGGGGCAGGGTCTGGCTTAATCCCGCGCGCTTTACGATAACATGTTCCGACAAATTGGTTAGGTACCGAGGTGATCCTGCCGAATAATGCTCCATTGAATATTTGGTTCAATAAAAGTTTTACTGAGCTTTCGGCCGAATATTTGTATTTGGTGGATTCGATGTTCAGCCCATCTCTAGTTTAGGCATATTAATTTCGTAAAAATTATTACATTACTAACATGAAATTAATAAATTTTTAGATTTAAAACACACTTGTGGCACTTTACAACATAAATGCTTTTGTAATTATGATGCATACATTAGTTTCACTAATATCTAATATGTAATTTATTATTATTCTTAGATTTAGCCATAGGTAAGTGCAACCAGTTGCTCTTGTCTGAATAATAATTCAAATAATCATTTGCTTTGCCAAAAATACAAAAGCATATTATGGAAAATCTGGGCATCATTTGTATCTCTCGATGTTGCCGTCTATGCCCTTACCTTTTCTTTTCCTTGCACTTTCACTTTGGGAAATGCTTGTCAGTATGTAATAAATATAAAACTGTTTTATTTTTCTGTCAAAACTTAGGGTTTCCAATTCCCTTCACAAAAGGCAACAATCTACAAAATCAATTGTCTTGTACATTTCTTCCTAGATAAGCTTACACTATAAATTAGAAAAATATTGTGTTGTGATTTTGAAAGCATGAAAATGTTTATATACATATAATAACTTTCATTCTAACAGGAAAAGTATAGTATGTCATGCATGTTACCCTATCAATATCTTAACTAATCTTTACAAACGCACACCAAAATGTAAATGAAACATTTTTTTAATTCATAAAAATATTAAATAATTTGGCTGCTTTTAACATTTTTACTGTCTTTACATAGCTTGAACTCTTCTAGTATAAATTCATACATAAGTTATACACCATTTGGTAATCAAATATGCTTAATTATATTTGATTACCATATGGTGTAACATTAAAAATAGGGAAAGTAATTTATTGAATTAAATCTGATATTTTAGCTAATAATTAAACAGGCTGATAAATTTTGCTAAAATGTGATAGTTTTAAGTTCATTTGCATAAAATACAAGTGAATATTCATAAAATATTCCCTACATTTATGTTAACTTCATTGTGATTATTAATTTTTCTTACCAAATGCCATCTTGATAAAAGACTAATTTATTTTGGTTAAGTTGTAAGTGAAGGCACAAAACAATTTGCACTATATTAATTCAGTATTATATGTTTTAATCAAGTTCTAATGGTAACTCAGGAATTATATTCCAATGTAATCATAATCCATTCTAATATCTGAATTCACAGACACTAGTTTTTTGTTCTTATTTACCCAAGAAATGGTCCTAAATATGGTAATTGGTCACAATAAAAACAGTCTGGCACATTTGTTTCTTGCAATTCTACTACATTGGTGCTTATTTCATTAGCTACATAATAATATCGACAACGTCTAGGTCCAATGTCTTCTATTAAAGTATCATATGGTGGGGAAAGAATATCAAAAAATGCAGCGGGCATATGCAATGCCTCTATTTCATGATAATTTGAAATTGTAGGTGTTAAAATACAAGTCTGGGAATTTTCTCTGCATATTGAGTTTTGAGACACTTTTGCAAATAATCTTCTACGTTTGTGAAAGCCCTGGGCGAGACGCGCAGCTTCATGTTTCGCGCGAACGGCAAAGTCTATGTTATTTATTGCTTCTTTTAAAGGATATTCGGTAAAGCTCCGTATTCGAACTGCTCCGGAAATCACTTTTAGCAGGCCGTGCATATGCGGGTGGTCATGAAGGGGCATTTTAAAACCCGGTTTTAATACAAATATGCTCATGTTTACAAGACTATTTTGAAAAACTTCCACATATGTGCATGGTGCCTTGTTTGGTTTTCTCCATATAGCCGGATCACTAAGATTCTTATCCAATCCTAAGTCTTCCGCTCTTAAATTATCCATCATTGTTTTCAACTTATCTAAGTTTTTGTTTAGATCTTTTCTGAACTTGTCATCGAAGGTGTGCAATGCGTGTCGGTAAGTAGACACAATTGGTGGAACATTAACAATTTCCATTGTGGACTTTGCTGCATCTCTTATATCCATATGAAATCTACCAGCAGTATTAAACAAGAATTTTGCTCTCCTAATATAAGTTGAAATTAATCTGCACGATAACAATGCGCAACTGTCAGCAAACGTCATTTTTATTTTTTTTACTGCAGAGCATAGATAAATAAATAACCATAGATAAGCTAGTATAATCGGGAGCACAAACTAATAAGAGTACTAACGTAAATCGGGAGCGTAGACAGAGAAACCTTCTCTGTCTACGAGTTTACCTTTGAGTATTCAACCAACTGGAGAGGCCATGCGCGTTAATTCCTAAACAAAAATTCTGTTAACATCAGGGGGGCGCAAGAAAAACACACAACTGTATACTTAACAACAAATGCAAAATTAAATCGTGTCACTATTAATGGTGGTTAATATAGCGCATAGCGCCATATTATAGCGCGCTATCTCTTCATAACACATAGCGTGTGTTATGTAAGTAGTTGTCATGTCGCTATTGCGCTATGGCACTTTGGCGCTATTAAGTATTAAGCTGAGAACAAATTATCGGACGCGTCCATCAGCCGCGGCTGACAGACGCAGCTTAGCGGTGTGCACGGTAGTCGAGACGGCGTCTTCGGACGCCTCGCTTCGGTCATTCCATAAAGGTTTGTCATTCGAGAAATATGACAAGCAGCGACAGCGAGGATGAATCTATAAAGTTAGCGGCAGCTGTTTTATGTTGTCCTCCTAAAAAAAGTGAAAAGGAGTGCTTGGGTCCATGATATTAATGTAAAATTATGAAAAAGATTACGAATATGATGAAATTCATACATTGTATCCAGACTTACAAAAAGATGATAAACGTTAAAAAATGTACTTATGAATGTACTTATAAATATAGGCACTCGTGGCTATGAACACATTCAATTTTTTTTCATTACACATCATGTCGCGAGCGCAGTTGGTTAGCTTTAGAGGTGGGCGTTGAATCAATAAACTGTTTCTTTTAACAGCTTTTCATTCGTCAATGTGTTAACTGTTAATCATTAATGAAAAAAATAGGTTGATAGTATTAGCCGTTAATTTACGTCAACGCCCTCAACGCATTTGGAAATATTAGTAGTTACGCCGGAGTAGACATGGCGTTAATGGTTAAATTTATTTATTTGTTAAAAGTTAACTGTTAATTTTTTAAGAGATTAAATTAACAGTTAAATATATTACTTACTGTTGTAGTAAACTTATACTTTTAACTGGTTGTGTTAATTTTATTGCTTCTTCACTTTAATAGCTACAGGACTCTTTAGTATTAAAATATTATTAAGCTAGGCTTTTTAAAGGTTTGTTAATTATATATTTACATTATATTATGTTATGATTTACAATAAATTGTTTATTACTTACAGTGATTATTATGTATTTAGTATTTACATTTAATATAAATGTTTTATATTTTTTTCCTTTAATATTTTTTTATTTTATTCCTTTAATATGTAGACATGATTATTAGTTATATTTTATTAATGTTCAGAAATATTATTTGTGCTACTTTAGCTGTGGTTAGTCTTGTCATTCCATCATTTATTATGTACTTAGCTTTCGATAAAACACGTTCACAGGAAACTAAAGTGACCGTAATATGATATCAATTTTTAAAAATTTGGTACAAAACTGGGTATATACTATATTTATGCGTCCGCCACCACGTCAATAGTCAAAACTTTCGTGAATTTAGTGTATTTAATAAACACAGACTTTATAGAAAAATCCAACTTCTTTAAGCATAACTGTGTAAGTATAAGTGTATAAGTGGCTGCCATGAAAGTAAAAAGTACTCTGCATAACTTAGATAAGCGGCTGCAGTTATGATGTCACTGAAGTCAAGTGGTCTCCACTATACCAATCTAAATGAGAGACCCTATAATATTATTAGCTTACAAAAACAGATGTTTAATGTAATTATTGGTATATTTTTCAGGTATTATGTGCACTGTCGTTCCTTGCTAGTGGTAGTTACCAAAGAATATGCGGCAAAAATATCAACACTTATGTGTCGCAGCCTTCAGTGTCCCGCTGTGTTCATGAGGTTGAGCTTGTGGAAGCCCGTCCTTCCCCGGTCGAGCCGGCCCCATTCATGCATATTTTTAAAGGTTCTGCTGAACATAGGCCCGCAACACACTCCCATGCTTTTTTTTTAAATGGGAATGACAAGATACTCCCCTCTAAAATGGAAGAGGCTCTTAATGTGTTCCTTAATATTATCCTCGTGAACCTATATACTCGTGGCCAACGAAATATCCAAAAATGGTGCTGTAACACTGGCCCAAACTTCTAATCAAAGTGAGTCGACAAGAACTAGGAACAAATGCAGTCCACGGGATATTTTTGATCAAATAATAGGGGCACCTTCTATCACAGGCACTCCATTATCAAAAGCCATAAAAGAAGTGGACACCTATTTGGCTGATGACTTAATACCAAGGACAAATACTTCTGGTGACTGGAACAATTCTTTGGAATGGTGGATGACTCACAATTTTATTTATCCAAACTTGGCCAAAATTTACATAGAAAAATGTAACATAGTCGCAACATCAGTGCCGTGCGAAAGAATGTTCTCCAAATCGGGGCTGATTGTCAATCAAAGGGAGAACTAGACTAACAACTAGCAAAATAGAGATACTGCTATTTAAATGTTAACTTAGATGAAGACGGTTTTGCAGGCTATGAAATTTAATATGTAGGTAATTGTAAATAGAACAAAGGAAAAAAAAACAAAAAATATTATGATTAATGTAAATACAATCAGATCAGATGATCTTTTAAGTACATCTGGGTACTATTGTTACACAGCTAGTCCTAAGCCTGGAAAAAGTAAGAAGGAAAGGTCATTCCAGTTGAATAAAAATAAAAGTAATCTAAATTCTTATTAAATCAATAATCATCAACTTAAACTTAATTTGTCACAAAATTGTTAATTGTTATTGATGAATCGAAAGCGTTGAAACTTGAAATATTAATTGAATAGAACTGCTAACAAATGAAGTTTTACAACCTGTTAATTATTTAACAGCTTTTTAAACCTGTTGACCATTAATGATTAACAGTTAAATTACATTAACTATAAATCCGTCAATGACCCATACCTAGTTAGCTTGTGACACTCGAAACGTCCGCGGACGCGTCCCGTGCCCCGTTCACACTGTCCGCGGACGCACCAAACATCCAGCCGGCCAGATTCTGTTCGGACGTCCTAACGCTCAAGAGCGACGCAAGGTCATGTCCGCGTCTTACGGCCGATAGTTTGCACAGTGTATTATTAAATGTACTGGTTAGATCTCAATAAGCCGCGGCTGTCAGCCGCGTCCGTCAGCCGCGTCCGATAATTTGTTCTCAGCTTTAATATCTAGCGGTAATTAGTTCTAGCAGCAGCGCTGTGGGGAGAGGACGTGTGACGCAAATTTAATCTCGTGGCGCGCTATTCATCGCGCGTGACCTAATTTAAATGCTAGACGTTCTTTAGTTAGTGTATACTGTATATTTAAAAGTGATCAAAGGACACAGTTGTGATAAAAGAAGCCTAACTAATGTTTTTAAATGTAAAAAAATAGATACAAAAGTGTATATAATAGTGTATGTAAATAATTGATTTTTATAAATACAATAAATTAACTTTTAAATACACCTTTATTTGATTTATAATTTATATTAAGGTTAAAATAATGTTTACATCAATTATAATAAAAATAACTAATTTTATTTTGATTCTCAAAATAAATTTAATTCTATTTTAAAAAGTACATGACTTAAAAATATTTTTAGGATAATAGAAAGTAGTAAGCCTGAAAAGTTTATTTTTATTTTATTATTTATTATTACGAAATAATGTTCTTATATAGCACGCGATCTATCCAATGAACGACATGTAATTTAACGTGCTAAGAGATATAACGTGCTGCAAAACTTAACGCGCTTACCGGCCTCCTACACGCTTTCTTATAGCGCGCTATAACATAGCGTATTTAATAGCGCACTAGAAATTTATAGTTTATAGTATGTAGCGTGCTATAGATTTATAGACGTTTTGAACAACTTTAGTAACTATAAACGCATACTATAACATTTGTGTTTCTGTTCATCGCATTTACGCATACCATCAAATTGTACACGTGTCGATAGTGTCAACGTATGTCGATATTTTTTATCGATAAACAAATCACCATAGTCGCATAAGTTTTTATTTGATTATAAGTAATACATAGATAAATAATACCAGGGTGTTATTTAAAATTCTTTTTTTTAACGTATTTAAAAATGATCTTCGGAAAAAGCTATAAATTATTGAAAGAAACTTTATTATTTTACTAGTTTATTTTAATTAAAAATTTAAAAGGTTAAACAAATCGAAATAGGAGGTTTAGTTTAGTTTATCATCTGAGATGGTGTTAATCAAGTTTTTGTTTTTATTATAAGGCTTCAATCACAAAACCGCTATTTATAAAAAGTTGTTGATTTTGAAGAGTAATTAAATGAACTATCTGGAAAATATTTAATAAATTAGGAAAATTAAAAAGTTTTACACTCTATAACAGTTGAACAAAGTGAACTTTAAACAGAACAGCTGGGTATTACAGAGGGGTATGCTCTCAATTTTAATGCCGTCAGCGCTTCTTGAGTAAACCCTGGTCGGCGATCGATGGTAGTGTATCACTTAGTCAATGTCCGTGGTGCAGGCAAACATGTTCCAAAAGTTTTACGTACATAGCGATAGGCTTTTGGTGAGTAATAGTTAAATGTTAGGGCAAAGTATTTCTTGCAAACTTGTGAAACCTGTTTATGCTATTGTTTTTTATGTCAAGGCATTTTTTCAGTTTAATTTTCCTTGGCCTAATTTTTTTTATTGAAAGTTTTGTCGTGACTTTCGAGACAACTAATGGAATTTCTCCGGAACATCCAGCTTTCTTTTTTCGATGTAGACGATATTGTGCAATCTCCAAGATGACCCTGAAATAAATAATTTACTTACGTAAATCAGAAGATTCAATATA